GTGTCGCATTCATTGTCCACCCTTCAAAATATGTGCTTGACGAATTGGAGCACAGGTATAGTCACATTAACGAAGGGTCTCTTTCAAATTATGATGGATGTAGCTTGAATGATTTGTGTTCTTTCTCATTTGCCGCCTGCAGATTTTATCGTGTCTACTCAATCTAACTGTTGGCTCCTACACAAAGGTCAACAGCTAGCATAGGCACTTCAAATTTTTTCATCATAAAGATGAACATTTCTTTAATGTAATGATGGCTAACATTATCATTCTATCCGGTGGGACATTCTAGTACTCAAATTCCACTGTTTGGAGCAACTTGATAAATTCATCCTGATCCATGCAAATGTCAAAATATGGTCAGCCAATCTTCACTCCAACATCTTGGACACTGATATTTTATGTTAAATCGGTGGGGTATTGGCTCTTCATCACAAAAAATCTCCTAATCAAAAGAATTCAATTCCTCTCCTCGATTTGGTGAGTCACAATTATGGCTATGAGTGATTTTACTGAATTGTCTCCCCTTAAAAGATGTAAGATTCTATTGTAGTTGAAATTTTTTTCTTTGCAAATTTTTCATAGTGAGCTTTTGAACACTCTGTTGAGGGTTTTTCTGTGGTGGCATGACGTCGTGTTCTGCCAATAAAAGAGCTGATTAAAAAAATTGCCGATTAGGGTGAGGACAAGGTGGTTGATGTAAGAAAAAAAATTTGCTAAGGATGTTAGGTTAGTTTGTATGCATTCTTGACTTAGATGTAGGAAGTAGAAAACCCTAAAAATCTAGAGTTTGTCAGACTTTGATACCATTCTAAGGCTCCTAGAAGGTGAGACAGATCCTAAAAAGGCGTTGAGGAAATTGTGGGATTGATAATGTGAGAGGGAGGATGGATACTAGTTGATATTCAACACGAATGATGGTAGAACTGCGAAGCATAAGCAAAAAAAAGGCAATTTCCTGCAGAAAAAAGTAGGTGGGAGCTGCGTTAATTGTTGTCCGACTGAAAAACAATAGACAAACTGTGAGTCGGTGAGGTGCGGATGGCGAGGGGGATCCACCACTTATTCTTAGACAATCTACAGACGAATCACTTGTAAAAGGAAATGACAGCACTCCGAAGACCATAAAACTAAAAATCCAAACAGCTCTACTAGAACATATATAAAAGTCCCCTAATATAAAATATATATTGAAAAATAGGAAAATAGAAAATAATCTGAAAGGAAAGAAGCAAAGGAAGAAAACTTGCTAAAAAAAAAGGGAAAGAAAAGAAAAGGCCTTTCACGCTAGACTCCCAAGATTGTTGGACTTTCACAAAGCACAATCACAAGTGTTCCAGGACAGTAGGAAAATTTTCATTCCACGTTCGTGTGAGGGTGCGCATCCCGCATCAGTTTTAGGGTCTGCTTGGGGTGGTTGTCACTTTTTAAAAAATGTGATTGGAAAAGTTGTAGAGAAAGCAACTTTTTAAAAAAGCAGCGGCATGATTTATAAATATATATTTTTTCCCAAGAAAAAAATCAAACAACAGTTTTCTTGCAGCCACAACACTATAACAAATCAAGTTGAAAAAAATGGCTTCCCACTACAAAATGTTCTAAAAAGCAAAAAAAAAAAACAATTCTCCAAACATAACTATGATGGCGATCTGAAATGCAAACCAGGTAGAAAGTTATCCCAAACAAACCTATAGTGTTAGATATATAGAGGTTGTATAAGAGGACCCAAAAAAAGGTGTCATACTCATACGATACATCATACACTATCATCCTAAAAGGATGAAACATAGATAAAACACAAAAAAACAAAACTTGCAGGAAATAAATTGTTAGGCATGAGCCAGCTTGGTCTTGCCTCAGTCTCTGGTTCTAGAAGCAGAGACAACTAACAAATTGCTGAGTGTCGTTTCATTACTCGAAGTTACTAGACTAGCATCCATTAAGTTCTTAAGCTGGGGTGTGCCTCCATTCTTCTTTTTCTTTCTAGATGTGTATACCTGTCATTCCTCATCCGAGGACTAGCTCATCTGATCAGTGTGGTCTGCAGATTGTTGGGCATGTGGGAGATAATGAGCCCCCAGCTCCTGATTAGCAGTAACAACATTATGATTCTGAAGAGATGGTAAGCATATCTCTTCAACACCTGATGCATCTTGGGGTTGTGGAGCTTCAATACTATCCTGATTATCGGACCCAAGTAAACCATCTACCAATATATCAGTCGAAAGAACAGAGATATTATTGTCTTCGGTAGTGGGAGGGGAAGGTGGCATCGTGTCAACCGGTGTTTCAATAGTCTGTGGAATGCACTCGGGAGCGGAGGGGAGACAGGGTATGAGGTGGGGCAGATCCAAAAGTGTTTTTACATGAAGGTTTTAAATTCAGATGCAACTGATAACATTGAGAAAGAGAATGTCCAAACATACGGCAGTGGGTATAATAAAGTGGTATCTATTCAAGTTCTGCTTGCTGCCAAAATCTCTAATGTTGTGTGTCAATCCATATTTCTCCCTGAAAAGGTAAAGTAATATCTCTTTCTATCAAAATTTTGACTTCTGAAGACCGAGTTAGATTCACTGTAGACGTGTCAGTTTTGAGGGGTTTACCGTATACCATCGCTAAAGTGAAGAGAAGCTCTTGATCAAAAAGGTGGATCTTCAAACCTAGGAAGCGCAGCCAAACATGAATGGTAAGAGGTTCAGTACGATGGTCAAAATCCACCGTCCATAGTATTAGATATATATATATATGTGTGTGTGTGTGTGTGTGTGTGTGTGTGTTCAGTGCGATGGTCAAAATCCACCGTCCATTGTGTGTGTGTGTGTGTGTGTTCAGTGCGATGGTCAAAATCCACCGTCCATTGTGTGTGTGTGTGTGTGTGTTCAGTACGATGGTCAAAATCCACCGTCCATAGTATTAGATATATATATATATATAGTGTGTGTGTATCTATATAAATATCTATGCTTAACAATATATAGTGTGTATCTATATATCTATGCTTATATATATATCACAAACACACACACACACACACACAGATATATATATATATATATATATATACATACATACATATAAGCATAAGAATTGGGTGGGTATATATTTAAATGCCCCAATATCCTCTCTTGACCATATGCTTTAATTTTCTAGAAAACAACAAATTTAACTAAAAAGTCACTAGTTTAACAATTTGCCCTTTCCAGAGTTACCCTCAGACAACAAAGTTAGGTCAAGCAATTTCAAAGGAAAATAGATTTTTTTTTAATCCATTTTTAACCACACATGTAAATTCTTTTTCTTTATATCTTTTAAGCATCCAATTATTAAAACAGATGGTAAGCTAACTTATCCCAAACAAAATCATATAGTTTGAGGAACTATATGGTTGAATAGGAAAAACGTCTGATCTAATCAATAGGACAAGACCACATAATTTTTTGCTCCTACCATTTTATACAATCTTCAAACTCAATCCCACAATTTCATGTCATTTGAAAGAGAACGATACACATGTATCAAACTACAATAATTTTCACAGTGCTTTAATCATTCATAAATCATTTGACAGAAAAATGAGAATTAATAGATGACACATAAAACTGTTTAAAATTATAATTTTACTCATAAATCTCATCAATGAAAGCCATCAAATAAACTCTAAATATCATCAATGACCCATCTCCTTAATTTTAGACCATTTGTAAGACTTCACAAAACAGGAAATACAATGATCTTCTCAAGAAATTAGAACCATCCAATTTAGCAAATGGTTATGCATCCAATGGAAGATCATGCTGCCTTAAAGACCTCGAAATTATGCATTTGACAGGTTTATATGATATAAAGATAGTGAACTGCCTTGATCTTACAAGCAAAAATCAGAACATTAAAATTAAACAGGCGAAAATTCATCACAATGATTCTCCTCAAAACTTGATCCCACACAACGAGGAGCATTGAAGCACAGCATGGTGATTCTCCTTGAAGGTGCAAGAAATAAATGAAAAAGCTTACATACATAGCACACGATTCTTATGTACTTGCATATCTCACACCTAAACTTCCATATCTGCACACATAGCATTTTAGTTCTTTAAGCTTATGCATGAAACAGTGTATTTGACTTTCAAAAAGTTGTAATAGAGCTATTTTTCATGTGATATTAAATATTTCAGTGCCACAAGTGTAAATATGAAAGTTTAGGTGTAAGTATGTAAATAAATAAGAATTGTGGGTTATGTAAGTAAATGCCCCTAATTAAATCCACCACACACAATAGAGAAAGGAGTACAGAATGCCAACTAGCCTACTGGAATTATCACCATTCATTTTTGTAGACATAGACTTATAGTGATGATTCTACTACTAGGAGGAGAAAATATATGTGCAGTACAGAAAACTGATATGATGTGGCCATTGTTTGAACAAGATAATAACAAGAAAAACTGGGACTCTATGAAGAACTAGAAGGAAAATTAGATTGTCCAGAGAATGCTTGTTCTCCAGGCAACAGTAGTACATGATTAGTTTGTTCCCAGAATTGTTTCATGGCAGAATTTGAATTACAAAATGAAAAGAATAAAATTAGAGTCTATTCATAGTGAATGAAATATTGGCAGCCGATGTCTATCCTTACTGTAAGGTAATTACAAATGGAATTGAAGGTGGTTGAGGGCATTCATTAAACATTAACAGTATGCACTGTGAAATAACAACAAAAATCAGGACATGAATGATGATAATTCTTTACTCACTTTTTTTTTGTCCATTTGAGTGTAAAATAAGTAAATACAACAGTTGAAGGAGAACATCAGTTGTGGTGACTCGTCAAGTATTTACTGTAGTAATTGGCTTAAATTTTTTGGAGTCCCACCTAAACATGGTGCTTGAAAAAGCAATCCAATTCAGGTCAAGCTATCCAATTAATTTGCATTTACTATAAAACAAAATTGCATTCATGCCATCACACTGGTATCAAATGATAAATTTGGGATTACCTCTGCTTGCAGTCCACAATGGTTCCAAAGTTGACATCAAATTGGTTAGCCTTCGCTCGCTCCTGTAACAAATTCTCAAATGCCATTTCCTTATCTTCTTTGATTTTATTTATTTTGTCCATTTGTTCCTTGACAAATTTCCCTTGATAATCCATCTAAAATAGTAGAAAGAAGAAGCATAGAAGTGAAATATTAATGAAGTTCAAAGTACAATCCACGGGCTATTGAGCATGAAAATATACATAGAAGTTCAAAAATAGAAATGAAGTATACTCTGAAGGAAATCAAGTTCTAATGAATAATTGACCAAATTTTCCTTAATATTATTTTCTCTTATGGTATGCATACATGCTACATTTTTGCTAAATGTGACCACTACTACAATACAATGCTTTCTCCAGTTTGTTGATACATAATGGTGTGACAAATTTAAAAAACCCGTACAAATGTACTGTTCCCCTTTTGCTCTTTCCAAAAATCACTAGAATAATAATAGGTTGAAACAAAATCTTGAGCTGTCCCTACCAAACAAACTGAATGTTGACCTCATTTTTACTGAGGTCTTAGTTTCCTACTCCATGAACCCCAAATATAGCCTTAGGAGTCCCTTGTTGACCATCCTAACGGACTAGTAATGGAGCCCACCTCTCATAGAACTTCGAACCACTTCTTGACTCATTTTTGTGAAGAACTCACATGAGTAGTCCCAATCACTCAACTTTTAGTTGCAAGGGCTAAGGACTAACATATAGAGGGCCCGAAAATGAGTTTCCATAGGATTAAACGGCCATAGGTGAACCCTCCATGACTCAAACACTCGCGAACGTCGCGGTTCACGCACTCGCTACACCACACAAGGTTTGTTTTGATTTAAATCGACTCGCTGTCAGCAAACTCGTCTGGATGACCCTGGATGGCGAAACAAACCACGCCGACGTGCCCGGAACTCCAATTTTAGTAAAAAAAGACACTCATATTGTTATATTTCCGGCACGAGAAAATTGGCACGAAAATCGATGCGCATTCTTTTGGTGGGACGCGGGTCCGGGCTCAACCCAAGTTCGACTCGGGCTCGATTCGGGCTAGGCACCAGCTCACAGATTTTTGAATTTTAAATTTCAAAATTCAGACGAATTATTTAAACCTGATATTAATTGAAAATAATTTTTGTGTTATTACTTTCCGTTTAAGCCGCATACAACAAAGGAAATTATTGAATTCCCCGCCGAAGCTCTCGGGTAACGGCTATTGATCTTGCGGCCTATTTCTTTCTCCCGCTGAACGCTCTTGCAAAAAAAAAAGATTCCCGATTCGATCATCTCCCGCACGCCCCCTTCTCGATCCTGCACTCGCTCTCTGCTGGATCCCGATCTCCCTCACTCGCTCCCTTCCTGATCCCGCACTCGCTCCCTTCTCGATTTTGATCCCTCGCTCTCTGCCCGATTCGATCGTCTCCCGCATCGAAGAAGCCGCAAAACCCTCGCCTCCCGCTCTCTGCTTGCCTCCTCCCTGTGACGAAGAAATCCCTCTCGCTCGCCTCCTCCTCTCGCGTTCGACCGAGGTTTCCTGTTCGGCTTCTTCCGCTCGAGTGCACCTCTCTGCACCGAAGCCCTAGCCTTAGTGTGGAGCATTCGCTGGTGGTTATTCCCTTAAGCTTTTAGGAAGAGAACTTCTTTGGGAGGCATTTTGTTGGAGCCGCTTTACTTTTCTTTGTTTTAAATCTGCATAAAGAAAGAGGTATTCTTCTCCTCTCCTCTGTTTTGTATTACTTCGGATGGCATGAAGTATGAAAGTTTATTTTGAGGTTTAAGCATGAATGTTTGCTTAGGTTAGTAGGAAATGAAGCACATATATATATGGGTCACCTCTACTTTTTGTTACTTGAAGCACTTGAAAGCATGACTAGGGTGGTCTTGAAATGCATTTTACTCTTTTAGAAATACATTTGGAAAAGCATATTTGGGGTTTATGTTTTGTCTCTCTTGCTACCCCTCATTAGAATATTTTCTGGAAATGATTTGTATGTGCTGAAAGATACATTTGGGGCTTATGTTTTATTTCCTCTTGCTGCCCCTCATCAGAATATTTGCTGGAAATGATTTGTATGTGCTGAAAGATACATTTGGGGCTTATGTTTTATTTCCTCTTGCTGCCCCTCATCAGAATATTTGTTGGAAATGATTCGCATGTGTTGAAAGATACATTTGAGCTTATGTTTTATTTCCCCTTGCTGCCCCTTGCTAGAATACTTGCTGGAAGTTGTTTTATGAAATGAAAAAATGTGTTTGGGGGTTCATTCCATGTTTCTCTTGCTGCCCCTTTTTTCGAATTCATGTTAGGAGAAATGATCAAAGCCTTTATTATTGTTATTCATGCTTAGAACAAATGTTGGAAATTTTCTCTGTTTTGCCGCTGCCTTGGTTTCAGTTTTGGTTATGCTGAGTTATGCTGGAATATTTTCTATGTTTTAGCACATTTTTGGAAGGCTCGGTCTTGGCTTCATAATAGCTGAAAATGACATTTCATTTAGCTCACTTGTTGGGTTTGGCTTTAACTCTTTTTGAGATGGATCCTTGCAAGAGATGTTGGCATTTGTTTTGATCATTTGTTGGGCTCGGTTTACCCATGTGTTGGGCTCACTTTGGGCTTCTTTGAATCAAATTATAAATGGATCTTTCGGGTCATGTTTTTTTTTTCATAAAGGTTGGGCTCAGTTTGGCTCCTTTTGATATCATGTCTTGGCTGGAATTTTTTCTGTTTTTGCCCCTTTTAGCCCCTTTGATGATCCCGATTTTGTTCCTATGCTGAAACTTATTTTATAAATTGGAAAAAATATGTTTGGGGGCCGGATTTGGAGAATTTTATCTACTGTTTTGGGTTTCATTTGATCATCATTTCAACGCTTTTAGGCCAATTTACTTATTGTTTTTCCCCATTTTCGGCTTTGCTAGTTTTGGAACTGGGTCGGCCTCCTTTAGTTTTATTTATTTTTAAATGGTTAAGTCATAAAGATGGGGATTAATGATTTAATTAATTAGAAGATATTGAAAACCTTAAATCACCTTAAGCATAAGTTAAAGTGTAGGTTTCTTAGAGTTTTAGGAGCACACCCTAGGTGAGAGTCTATCCACCTAGTCCCTCAGTGTAGACCTCCTAGACTTTAGGTGCACTCCCTAGGTGAGAGCCCATCCACCTAGTTCTCAGTGTAAGCTTCTCAGAGCTTAAGTACACACCCTAGGTGCGAGTCCATCCACTTAGACCTCAGTGTAGGCTTCCTAGACTTTAAGAGCACACCCTAGGTGAGAACCCATCCACCTAACTCTCAGTGTAGGTTTCCTAGACTTTAGGAGCACACCTTAGGTGAGAGCCCATTTACCTAATCTCTGTAGTGTAACCTTCTAAGGTTTTAGAAGCATACCTTAGGTAAGAGTCCATTCAACTAATCCTCGAATGCCCAGTGAAACTAGACATTTGACCCTAACTCACAAACTGACTAAAACACTAGACACGATGCAACGAGACGTGACCCATGCTTCCTTAATTAAATCAATAGTGGAATTCTCGTCATGACTTGACCTATAGTAAAACCCAGTGCATCGGGATTTGAGCTTGAATATTGCACTCAAATCCTCCTGAAGATTGGGGAAATTTCTTAACGCCGCATATGGATCATCGGACTAGGATAAGTCTAGGGTCTAGGTGGCGAGGGCGATGATGACATTGCTTATATGTGCTTAAACGAGGGATACAAAGTGAGATTATTAAAATAGTATCTCCTACCTCAAGGATCTTCAAAAAGAGGGAAGGATCCATGATACTATTCGTCGATTCTTAGTGGGATCGTTGTCCCCGACACTCTTAGGTTGTCAGTAGTTCTAGCACGATTAGAGTGACTAACCTATGGACTATACAATTTTACAAAAATATTTACAAAAATAAAAATAAATTTTTTTTTTGCATGTTAAAAAGAACTCTACATAAAAAGAACTTGAACAACAACTTTTGCATGAAAATCTTTCTATGAAAATTTATAAAAGTTCATGGTTAGTTATTTGGATTGAGGTTAAGAACTATCTCCTGTAGATTGTCGAGTTAGCAACTCTTACTCAAGGTCGGGAAACACACAGCCCAGCTCTGAGCCCCCACTTTTACTAATGTCTTATACCTAGTCCTGATCTTTCATATGTGGCTAAGGGTTTCTTTTGCTCGTGATTTTTACAACTCTTTCTTCTGACTTTCACGCTAGGTTTTCTCGCCTTGTTTACTTTTCTTGCGAGTTTATTTAAATCTGGTGTAAGTCATGCTACGCTTGCAATATTAATCACGCAACAGTAGTAGATGCTCAGGTACGCTTTTACAGTTTATTCACAACATTTTACTTTACTGTATTTTACTTTTCAAAGTACATTTTATTTACCCGCGATTTGATCATTCTGCTTGCAAAACCGAACATTGACACCAAAATTTAGAAGCACAAATCACCAATCCCAAACACTTAAACCCTGGAGTCGTCGCGACGACAGGAGCTTAGAGCCAACTTTGTGGGCAGCACGGCGAGGAATTCAGACCGAGCAGCAAGAGGATCTTCTTCAGCATTATCCCTACCAAGTATAATGACAACCCATAGGGCTTCGAGGTAGCTCGCCTAGCGTGACGTAAATCCTCACACTCTCTTTTTAGGCCTCTGTACAGCCATGTTGTGCAGCGTAAATCCTAACTCGACTTAGGTTCTGAGGTTGTCGTACGGTACGACATAAACCCTCATATCTATGTGGGCTATTTGCATAATCAGACATTATGCAAGTTTAAGTCTCAAATAATAAAACTGGCAGGATCAAACACTTAATTAACGTCGTCTCCAAAAATGTAGTCACACCGTAGGATAGTCTGGGAAGTCATCGAGATTTACCTCGGATCAGTGACATCCCCTACTTTCTCCTTCCTTAGGATTCTTGAAAATAAGTGTTCTATATTGAGCCACTCTCACTTGCTTTTCCACGTTCTACCATGAAAACCTAAACTTTGGAATCTTAAAGACTAATACTTTTGATCATTATCGAGAGTTTTCTCAAGTGACCCCAGTCATTTGAGATGTAATTAACTATAGGGGCTTGTCTATATAGGGAACTTGGAACCCAAGTAAAATAAACTCTATTTAATCTTTGTATTAGATAGGAGAACTTGTCGGTCATACATAAAAGGTTCACAGACCAAACGGATGTAACAAATCTCTTAGTTTGCAGGATTGAGTCTATCGCCGAATTCTACATTTATCTTTCGGAAGGGTGTAGTATTCGCAGTATCGGACACGATTATGCAAACTATTGGACGAATGAGATCTGTTTGGTCTCATTTTTCAACAAATTAAAACATACTATTTTTAAAACTCAAACTATAAACTTTATATTTAAATTAAATTTTCAAATGAAATCAAATCGAAAAGTTGACCGACACTGAATGAGTCTTCAATTAAATAAAAAAGCTACCTTTTTTTTAAAAAAAATGAAAATCAAAACATAGAATTGTTCTATAGTTTCTCATTCCGCAAAATGTTAGATCAGTTGTTGAGTCTGAATAATAATGTAAAAAAATCTCATCTTTCCTTGATTTTCCTCCCGTGTCTGCTCACAAAATCATTTTATTAAACAAAAAAAAAACTGAAGAATACAAGGTTTACCTCTTCTTTATTTTCTTCATGTTGAATCTTCATTTTGTGCCTCACAATCCTATTTTCATCGAATGTATCACGCAATTTCTGGCTCACCACCTCAAATGTCTCCTTAAGAACCTTTGAGCGCTGCTCTTGTTTCACAATTTTGTTCTTAAGCCAAATCAGCTTCTGGTTATTTTCACTCATCTGCTTCATTGGCCCCAAGACCATTTCTTGGTAAGATCTCACGTCAAACTTGAGGCATCCTTTCCCTGCATAGGTTTCAAAATCAATACAAAAAAAATATGATCAAACTAAATCAATTACATGGTTGTCTACTATATTTTATGAGAGTTGCCTTGACATGGTTTTGGGAGCATTAGTCCTTTGTATTTTGAAATAGATTTTAATTCTCCTTTTCGCCTTCTTATTGGGGTAGTTTTGCAATTAGTTCGTCTATAAATTAATAGGTGTTTCTTATAATTACCCATGCCATCGAAGAGTTGGAAGTTTTTTTGGTGAGCTCGTTTTCAGGATATCCAGAAATTTTTTGGATGCATTCCCCTAGTATAGTATAGGTGAGGGGAAGAAGAAGCCATAGTGGTGTTCAATACACGGCCAAGATAAATTCGATTAGGGCCCCTAACACATTGAAAACGGAGTCCTGTCCAAGTTGCAAAGATCCAAGACAGCCCAAACCTGATGATTACCGTCCATTTTCTATAAATGTCGCACAATATTATCCAGACTACTCGTATGTGGACAATCTAGTCTCAGAATATTACATTTCCATAATTTAGTTCAGTGATTTTAAAAAAATAATCCAATGATCCTCGTGCAAAAATTATGATACAAAATTGATCTCATTTTAGACCCTAGACTATGCAAAAAAAATTTAGGTTCATTTTTTGCATAATTGAGAATCTGAATTAGAAAATGTGAGAATGAGACTAAATTGAACACATATAATAAGGTTACTGCTTTGGAGTATAAACTGGCTTAAGTTTGTTTTGTTGACGTTTTTGAGATACTTCTCTAGATTTTTAATAAATAAATAAGACTGAGAGAGATGGAATTGAAAGCCTCCTCTTGTTGATGAATATCTGTTCTAAAATTAGGTTCCCAAGGATTTTACAAACTATTGCATCTAACAAAGCTTCCAATGTAAAAAAACTAATACTAAAGCACATTTTTTGCCAACACATTGAATTGAACAAAGAAACCAAATAATGCCCTTTCCAAGAAAGGTGGACCCACAAAAGGGGGCAAGAAAAACATTCAAGTAGACACCATCATTTCACTTTCTCATTGGCTAAATACCAACAAAGTGCAAACGAAGGATACTCTGTAAGAATTAATTGCTCTTTATGAAAATATAAAAAAAAAGTCCCATAAAAAGGAAGTGAACCGATTGAAAATATTTGTTTAGAATACAAAAGAGTAAAGCTACCTTTTGCATTCAGTCCCTACTGCCGCAGGAAATGAGAAGCTCAAAGCGATGCTATTTTAACCGATTCAACTTTCCCAAAAAAACATTCCCAGCATTCATTCAGAATGAGTTTAAACTAATGAATGCAAACAGAAAGACATTTTTAATTAGGGGCAATTACATACTATTCAATTCCAATGAAATTGCATATCTAACACCTAATCTATGGTTCTTTGACATTTATACCACCCAAATATCTCATATAACATAAAAAATGCCACCATTTTAACTTATGAAATTTCATGCATAGGTAAGGTATAATGTATGTAAAAATTTAAGTTTAGGTGTTAATATGTAAATACATAGGAATTGAGTGGTATGTATGCAAATCTTCCCTTTAATTATTTCAAATTTCAATGAAACTTAACAAAAAAAAAAATCTACTGCCCACAAACCAAGCATACCATGGGAATGCTGGTTGAAGATGACCAAATCCTCTTTGGATGCCAAGGAACCATATAGCTGACGCTTACCCCCTGGATAGAACAGTGTCGGATGCCTTTCCCAAGCATCTCGATCTCTTCCCTCGCCTCTAAATTGCTTGTGCAAACGTTCAGCTTCTAAATAGCCCATTGCAGAGGCTTCAAATATTAGAACACTCATGCCACGGTGCCCATTAGGACCATAGGAATGACGAGCTTTTACGGCATCATAAGTACTAAAATATTCAAGAAGCTCTTGATTACCCATGCCTTTCCACTGTAATTTATGTCGAATAAAAGATCTACTTAAATCAATTGTGGCGAAGCTAAAATGCATGAGATAAAAAAAATATATAATAAGCAAGTTTTCTTAATCAACTTTGAACTGTGAACAAATACAAAAGTATGATCAAAATAAATTGATGCCATTCAAAAGATAAGATCTATCATGCAACCACCTTGTCATCAGCTGATGCACATTAACAGGCGTTAGTGATTCAATCATTGAAAACATTCATTGACAATATATGTTGCACGTGTTTAGACACATTAGACAATATGAAAGGCATAACTATCCAATTGTATAATCCAGCCTGAGTCTTGAAAGCTGTCTTCCTCTCATCCCCTAATCTCATCCGGATATGGTGATACCCGCTGCATAAGTTCAACATGGAATAGACAATGGCTCCATGCAGCCAATCCAAGAGGTTGTCCAGGAAAGGTATGGGGAACTTATATTTGATATTTATCTTGTTGATGGCCCAACTATCAATGCATATTCTCCATGATCAGTCCTTTTTGGGTACCATCAAGGGGAGGACAGCACACGAGTCGGTACTCTCTCTGACCAAACCTCTCCCAAAAAACATACTTGCGGAGCTAGGAGGGTTTACGTCGTACGGAACGACAACTTCAAAACTTAAGGTGAGTTGGGACTTATACTGTGCAACACAGTTACACAGGAGCCTAAAGAAAGCGTTAAGATTTAGATCGCACTAGACAAGCTACCTCGAAATCCTATGAATTATTGTTTAAAACTAAGGAATAGTTTAAGTGGTGTAAATCCGTTTAGTGTTTCATCTTGCTCGCAGTCAATGTGTATCGTCGTCGTACTGCCCATGAAGCTTGCTCCAAACTCTTTGTCGTGGCGGTTTTGAGTTCTTGGTTTAGGGTTTGGGGTTTTACATGTGAGCATGCAATATTGTTAGGTCGACGAGCTGTTGTTGTGTGCCTACTAAACCAAACTAACGTTTTATACCCTCGAGGTCTTGCAAGTTTTGTAAGTAAATGTATAATTATAAGTGCAGTAAAATTACAATAAAATAGAAAAAGGTGCAGTAAAGAAAATAACATGCAAGTACGCACCTAGGATTCCTGCCGCTGCAAAAGCTTTAGTACTACATGTGAAAGTAAGCAGATATAGCTAAGGATTTAATAAGCACGTCAAACATGAGCATACATATGTAAAAGAACAAGCGGCACATGAAAGCTCGAAGAGGACTGTAAAAATTCAGGCCAGGGTGGGCTCAGATTTATCATTCCAGAAAGACTCCATAGGCAACCATCAGTCATCCACGCGTATAAAACCCAATATTTAGTTAGAAATTTCCAACAAGACAATCAAAGGAGAGCAATTCATGACACGATACAAATAACTGACAAAAGAACACTTAAATTGTATCATTCAAAATTTGTGATTTGTCATGCATATAAATAAGTTTTTGTTCAACAGTCAAAAGTATTGGTTTCATAAAAAAATGTATTTTGTTTTGTTGTTAACTTTGTATTGTCATTATATTTGCATATTTTGTAAATCTGATTGTCCACAAGTCAATCACACTATCAAACTATCGGCAGCCTAGGAAAGTCGGGGGATCATTACTAGTCTAGTGTCGGTAAATAATATTGTCATCCCGCACTCACCAAGTCCTCGAGTCAAATTTCAAACCTCCACCAGGTCCTAATATCAGGTGAAGCAATATTATTCTCTTTTATCACCGGATGTCTTTGTCATCACGACGCTTAAACCCCGAGTCGTCCAACCTATAGCTTTGTTTGATGACCCATATATCGCTACCCTATATGCACTTATATTAGAATAGAAGCGCATAACCTAAGTCATCAAGCAAGAAAAAAGAAATGAATCAAAGAGAAATGAGAGGAGACCGACTCAACTCCCAAAATGGACTAAGCAAAGCAGTAGAACAACAACTGGGTCAGCTCAAAAGAGGTTTAAATAGCAATCAAGTAAAACCTAAAATAATAGGCAAAGGGCTCCCTAAAACCAACTCTAAACCATAAACAAAACCTCCTAAAACCGGAGCTCCAAAAATTGGACAAAAGCCACCCAAAACCGCTCCAAACCATAGGTAAAGACCTCAAAAAAAAAGTGTGTAATCAGCCCAAAAAAAACAGTGTTTAAAGGCTCCAAAATCAGCATTTATCAAAACCCCAAAAAGTGTTAAAACAGCCCAAAAATGGTTTAAAGACTCCAAAATCAACATTTAATCATTCCCCAAAGCAGTGTTAAAACAGCCCAAAAACAGTGTTTAAAGTGTTCAAATTTTTGCATTAAATCATTCCGCAAGGCAGTGTTAAAACAGCCCAAAAACAGTGTTTAAAGGATTCAAAATTTGCATTTAATCATCCCCAAACAGAACTTTTAGAGCTCCCAAACAGCACATTTAAAAGCTCCCAAACAACACAATTAAAAGCTCCCAAACAGAACTTTTAAAAGCTCCCAAACAGCACTTTTAGAGCTCCTAAACAGCATATTTAAAAGCTCTCAAAACTGCAATCAAATAAGCCACCAAACATCCCAAAACAATGTATTTAAAGGGCTCCTAGACTGCAACCAAATCAGCCCCCCGGCTTAGCATTCATAAGCCAAAAAAAAAATCTGCATTTAAGCCATTTCGGACAGTGCATAAACTAGCCCAAAAAGGATACTTTCATACACATCCGACAATTCTTAAGCATTTACATATGTAATACTTATATATTTACCACCCAAAAGAAATAACACCATTACATATGTAGGCAAAGTGGTATGTGCATACCAATTGGAGCTTAGAATTATACAAGTAAATATGTAAGAATCGATAGTAGGTATGTAAATCCTCAAAAGTCCAATTAGTTAGCCAAGAATAGTGGTAAACACAACCACCGAAAAATCACAAACTTATGTTCATGAAAATGACTGATAAACTCTAACTATTCAAGAAATCAAAATTTTATAAATTTATAATGTTAAATGGAAGTAGATTTTATGTATTTCAAACTCACACATAATGAAATAAGACTCAGCTTTAAAGTGAAATAGACAATGATGCAAATTTATGGTAATGAAGCTAGTATAGGGGAGTGTGATTGAGAGCATTCAAACCAACTTTCAGCTTCAAAAGGAAACTCATATAATATCTCAAAGCTGCATAAGAAGTGAGATGCGAGCAAATTAACAATGTAGGGTACAAGTGGGAAGGTCATTGCTTTTTGTAATGGCATATGTAGTGTATTGTGAGAAACAATTTATTTAATGCTGCTATGGGTTTTTTTTTTTTTTTTGGAAAAAATTGAACATCAAATTTTGTAGCTATTATATTCTAATAGGTCTGATTGTAACAGGCAGTTTATCGTCACATAGGCTACTAAAACACGGCAAGAAATTATGGCTAAATGAAAGTGAATAGCAAATTCATAAGAAAATTGTCACAAACAAATCTTTAAACTATTAGTATTTTGAAGATTTTTATTCTATTAATAACTAAAAGTTTAACAATTAATAGTAGATGCAAAAGTTAGACAGTGGATAAGAGGCACACTGCAAAAACCGGGATTATCATGCAATGTGTTCTTTTGCAAACCAAAAAAACAATCACTTAAATCATATTTTCTTCACCAACAAACTCAACCCAACCTCATAGCAGAGCAAAAAAAAGGCTACCAACAACTAAGCTCCATGGGCATACAAGTTTCAGAACATCATTTAATTAGCAATGAAATGAAATTTGGCTTTTCAAAAAAAAATTCATACTCAAGCAGATCAAGGCCTCTGAACAAGGAAAAACTCGAGGAAGGAATCTTACTTGGGAAGACGATGACCTCGGGCACTGAGTGAGGAAAAGGGGAGCCGAGAGCCTTCGGTGGAGAAAAGGAGGGAAGGTGGGGGCTTCTGTCGAGAGGACGAGAGTGAGACGAGGGCTTTTGTCAAGAGGAAGAGAGGAGGATTTCGGTGCAGGGAGGAGGAGACAGGCAGAAGGATTCGGCTAGCGCATACAACGAACAGGGAGAGAGAGGGTGAGCGGGTGCTTCTCTGTGAAGAAGGATTGAGAGAGGGGGGAGCAACAAGAAGAAGAGCTGAAGAGGGAGGCGAGAGACTCGATACAGAGTGGAGAGCGGGGGTTTGTCGAGAGAGGAAGCAGAGGTTTCGGTGCAGAGAGGAGAGGCGAGTGGGATCTGTCGAGAGCAGGGGAGGCGAGACGAACAGGAAGAAGAGAGGAGGCCAAGGCTTTGGTGTCCCGATTTTGTACGCATGAAAGCTCAAAATAGATGTTGGGCGGGAATTAAATGGTTTCCATTCATGCAGCCGGCTCAATTGGAATATCATAATGCCTGATTATACCCAATTAAAACAAGATTGAGCGGTTAATTTGAGAATTTTAAATTACAAATTGTGTTAATCCGCAATCTAGTGTAGTTGAACCCGAGCTGAGCATGAAACTGCCTCCCTTAATTAATTAATTATACGAATCAATTTTCGTGTCGTTTGCTCGCGCACGGAACCATATCATTATGGGTGTCTTTCCCGGCTAAAATTGATGTCTCAGACACGCTCGCGCGGTCCGTTTCATTATCTGGGGTCATCCAGACGAGTTCGTCGACGATCGGACCAATTTAACTGATAATTCGCGTCATGAGAGTTTTTTCATTTGTTTGAATTTAATCTTGATGTCGGTTAGTGAATTGTGCATGAATTATGGTGTATATGTGTGAATGTGTAAATTGCAGCGTTCTTGAGTGTTCAAGTCACAAAGGGTTTCCCTAGGACCTTTAAGTCCTGTGAAAAATCATTTTCTTTAGGCCCTCCACATGTTATTCCTTAGCCCTTGCAACTAAGTGTTGAGTGCTTGAAACAATTCATGTGAAATTTTCACAAAAAAATGAGTCAATAAGTGGTTTGAAGTCTACGTAAGGTGGGTTCCATTACTAGTCCTCTTGGATAGTCAATAAGAAAGTCTAAAGGCTAGATCTTAGACCTCACAAAAAATGAAGTCAACATATCAGAATGCCTATGTGTCTGAAATAGCTGCAACACAGTTATTTTGAAACTGCAAAAAACAAACGGACAAACAACTTATCCGCAACAACTTCCTATTACAGCTGTTGCGCATCAACTTATTAATAAGGCGTAGCTGCCCTAAACAGATCCTAATTGTGAAACCATTTGCATGACATTTATCCCTATTGGTCAACAAATAATGAATATCTTTTTTTCAAACCTAATTTTGAGTTTTTTGTAAACAAGTTGGGCATGATAGATATCTATGTTCCAACTTGAGAGGGTGTTGGATTTTTAGAAAGTTCTTAATTTAATATTATATTATTTGGTATTTTCTATTTTTAAAAAGTAGCATTATTGGTATGTTATAATTCAAGCTTCCTTCTTGTATTATGGAGAGTTATGACTAATATTAGTACTTTCCTAATGTGGGAGTCATCCACCTTTATTAATCTTGTAATCATCTTCTATAAAATTGAGGAGGAATAATTATTTTCTCCCTTCCAAAACATGCATAAATGAATATTAAAATATTCTTTCATAAGCAGAAAATTGACAATAGCAAATATCATGCATCTATATCTTTCCAACTTCCAACCAATTGATGATATCAAACATAATAATCTTTATAAGTTATATTCTTACCATCCATTAGAACAACAAATCAAAAATAAAAAATAATATGAACCCAAAACAATCTGCAATAAATGCAAAAGCTTTCCAGAAAATATGAGTTTACTTCTTAAATCTGATTACCTTATCTTTTTCATCCTTTTCTAGTATTGTGTTCATTACAACCACCATTGGAGGCCAAACAATCTCATGATCAGCAGCCATCTCACATAGACCCCACCACTTTCCAAATGCTTCACCAGCTGGTAGGATTGACGTACCCCTCCTTTGCAATTCCTCTTCCAAAACTTCTGCGAGTTCCCTATGAAGCCTCATCCTAATTCTTCCTTTCGTCCTTGCATGCGCCATTAGAGCTTGCAGACCAGTGTACCAGTTGATAGCTCCGGGACCATCCTGACAGGCTGGGCAGTGCCATTGTCTAGCTTGTTCATTTATCTGTTCCAAACTCAGATTATCCAAAGATTCAAAAAATGGCCTCAACCACTTGTTCTTCTTTCGTGTATCATGGCTCTTTTGACTGTCATCAGAGTAAAAACCATCACTAAAATCATCTTCACTATCATCTAGCAAATCATCATCAACATCAACACCACCACCAACATCTTGAGGAAGAAGTTCATCAAATTCAGGATCATCCGCTGAGAATGACTCATGCTGCAGATTCAAGTCGTGGTTTTCAACTTGAGAACTGATATGTGGAGCAGGCTTACCAGCTCTTGCAAACCATTGCCACCAATTTTGTAGCGATGGAGATACCTTGTGAGCTGTATCCCAAGAGCCCCAACTTCCATCTAGTTGTTTGGTTTCTCCTGCAGCACAATCACCCAAATCCCAAGCTTTGGGAACATCAGATGAAGCATTCATTTCTTTTCTAGCAGCAATACAAGGTTGATTAATGGAATGCTTACTATTCAATTTCCTATCACCATCCTCTTTAGGATCTATTTCTATATTTTTCATCTGATGGAACAAGCAAGTAACGTTTTTCTCTTCATAACTGGATCCTTTAAAGATATGTCCTTCTGCTGAGAGTGTGTCACTGGCATTTCTTGAAGAAGTGGTAGGCTTGCTAACAGCTTCTCCCAAATTCATGTTCAGATAGTTATGAACTGTCCAACTGCAACATTTTCAAGTAAGAAATGCTGGTGAAAAGAACAATATAAATATCCATGTACCAGTTCAGCAAGTAAATAGAATATAACTTCATTCTTTTCACAAAGAAAGTTCATTTTGAATATCAAAAAGAAATTAAAAGCATAAAAAAGAAGATTTAAAATGATCTCCCTCCGAACAACCTATAAAACTGACATATTTTGAGCAAGGCCATTATATTAAACAAAATGATCAGCATCGAGATAACTATGCATAATATTCACGTACTTGCTTAATTTGGGCATATGCATCGATTTTAAAAACAATAGATTGCCAGGTTTCTTTATGATGGAATATTCAATAATTAAAGGATGCTGAAAGAAAAGTAGGCTCCCTGAAAAAACAATTGGAATATATAAATGATAGATAGTGCTAAGTAAGCTGAGAAATGTTGCACATCTCTTGGAAATTTTGAGGATAAGTACAGAAATGAAGTGGGGCTTACACCCAACATGTCTCCTCTCACCAATCTATGGTTTCCCAAAGATGGTGTGCTGGTAAGGGAGGGATCTAGAGCTGGTTAGGAATTGAGGAGAATGATTACAACCTGATTTTGATGAGAAAACTGGTCAGGACTGCAAGTACAGCGGCTTCGGCGATGATAAAGAGGTAGGAAGGGGCCCTCGCCAAGGGAAAAGATAATGTCGAAATCTGAGAAGATATTGTGGAAGATTTGATTGGGACAGCTTATGAAACTCTTGATTTATTTATTCTCTTCTTATTTTATGTTATTTTATTTTTTTATTTCAGAATTATTTTCTTTGTTAATTTAGGTTAGATATATTTGAAAAGTTTATCAATTAGGAGAGATTATTTTCCCCGTATATATGTACCCTACATGTGAACAATACAATTAAGAGAGAATTATTCCTCTCCAAATCAGTTTTCTACATCATATCAAAGCAATAAAATCTTACCCTAGCCGCTAGAGCTCCTCCTACCTGACCGAAACCCCTTCCTACAGCCGGACTCCTCCCTGCAGGCCCCTTTTCTCCCTGCCTCCTTTCCGAATTCTTCCTGAAGCAGTAATCTTCTTTCTGATTTTTCTCCCACTATTGGAACTCCTCCCTGCAGCAGGCTCTGGCCCAAAAAACTCCTTCCTATAACCAGAAAAACTTCTTTGCAGATTGCCAGATCCCTGCAGGCCGCCGTATTACTGCTTGATGCAAGTTTTTTTTGTTAGGGGGTGCCGTAAGAGTTCCGTAGCAACAGCAGTCATAGCAGAATACTCCCCATCCAATAATACCAGACTCTACCCACTTCCAAAGCAACGGCAGTGGTAGCAGGATTACTCCTTGCTACAGCCGTAACAGAATTCTCTCCGGCAGATCTCCAGCAACCGCCGGAAAGCAGCAATAGCTACCAAACAGCAACAGCAAGCAGAAGCGGCAACAGCAGCAGCATGGAATTCTGGTCGTAGAAAGCCATTTCGAATGTTGTTCGGGTTCTGCCACTTGACTATGTTTCCTGCAGCGGTGACAGCAGCAGCAGCCGGAACTCTAGCATTTCCCTGCAGCAGCCGGAACTCCAGCCCTGCAGGCAGTCCTTTGCAGCAGCCGGAACTCTTCCCAGCATACAGTCCTTTGCAGCAGCCGGAACTAGCAGCTGGACTTTCCTCCAACAGTTGTTCAACACTGGTGCAGCCATCAGCCAGCCTGCAGGCCCTCCCGGGAGCTGGCACAAGCTCCCTCTCTGTCGAGTTCTCCTTACAGCTATCAGCTTGCCTACCGGCTCCTGCAGATGTACCTTGCATGCTATTGTTATCCATTGTCTTCCACAAGAGTAGCCAGTGTTTTCCACCAGAGCAGCTGCTGTCTTCAACTTTCCTGACAAGCAAACGTTCCTCACCTCCTCCAACAGCAGCAACCGTCAACTTCCTTCCAGCAACTGGCAACAGCTCTAAATAAGCATATGGTTTATGATCAAGTACAGAATGAAGACAGTAAATTTTTACTCCAAAGGTTAATCCTAAACCATTCACCAAGGAACAACTTTAAGTACTGAAAAAACTCCTTAAAGATAATTTAGAACAGCCCACCAATATCAGATACACCAAACTAATACATCCTTCTCCCATCTTAATAGTAATGAGATATTTAAAACTTGGATCATAGATTCAGAAATTTATGATCATATGACAGGAGACATCAATACTCTAGCCAACTATTAAGGGGCTTCTACATATAGATCGATCAGACTTGATAACGAACCACACTCAAAAATTGCAGGAAAAGAAAAGGTGAAGCTCACTCAACATATCTTTCCACTGTTTTATATGTTCCACAATTAAGAGTGTAATTTGATTTCAATCAGCAAGCTTACTGATTATATGAAATGTACAACTAGATTCATTGCACACTCTTGTAAAATTTGGATAGAGTCAAGGAAAGTGCTAACCAGTGTTGGCATGCATCAAGGCTTATACCTGATCAAGCAAAATCTCTCTAAACACACAATTTATCTCAACTCCATTTTTACCTCAAATTTGCGAGTTTGTTGAGTTTATAACTGTCGAAAAACAAGTCATGTTATCTCGTTATTGTCTGGTCATCATAGTTTTAGTAAAACTGTAAAGTTATGTCCTCATTTGTTTATCCACAAAAATCCTAATTTTTATCAATGTGAAATTTATGAACTTATTAAACATACAAGAAATAGTTATCCCATGACCCAGTATAAACCCTCACGCCATTTTTCCATCATCCATAGTAATATTTCGAAACCTTCAAAGATAAAAACCCTAAGTTAGGCTAGATGGTTTATCTTATTTATTAACAATTATAGTTGATTCAAATCTTCCAAACCTTCAATAACATGATTCAAAATAATATTTTAGTTCCATCCTTCGATCCTATATTCAAAAAATGAAATCATTCATGTGTGTTCATTAATTAATATCGCACAACAAATGGGACGGCTAGAAGAAAGAACACACATCTCCCTAAGGTATCCCGCTCAATCATGATGTTTCATCAAGTTTCAAAATATTTTTGGGCTAAGCAATTCTAACTTCAACATGACTTATCAATCGACTGTCTGATCAACCACATAACTTCAAAACACATATTAATGTTTTGACGATTTCATATCCTCGCTTAAGAGCTTTCTCGTCTACTATACCACTTAAAATCTTTGAGTGAATATCTCATATTTACATCCATTACTAAAATCGCACAAAACATGACCCAAGATCACTCAAGTATATTTTCTTGGGCATGGCACCACCAAAAAGGGATATAAGTGTCATTCTCCTGCTACCAGAAAATACAACTCCATGGATGTCACTTTTTTTCTAAAAATCGATCCTACTACCCCAAAAATAATGTTTAGGGGTAGAATGCAAATGAATATCAATATTTGGATGCACTTGATGACATCTACACGGCCTCATCACCTACTCCACCTAACACTCCTATTCTAGTTGAGAATTAACCAACGCAATCAACTCGGCCTAAATTTCAAAACAAAGAACTTTGTGTGTGCATAAGGAGAAAGAAAAATATAGAGCAAGTGGAAGACAACTTGCAAGGGCAGAGTTCCTCGAACCAAAACCTGTGTCCGCATTCACCTGACATTTTGAGTAAATACAAATCTAGTAATCATGAGCTATCCATGTACTCTTCCGATGTTGGTGACAAGGAATGCTACATTAGATATTCAATTCAAGAGTATGCAGCTTATGGGAAGTAATCCTCATCTTACAAATCTTTTGTTTCTAACATTAATAATATGCAGATTCCTAAATTTATTCATGAAACTCTTAAAAATCCATAATGGATAAAAGGAGTTGAAAAAGAGATTCGAACAACACTAGAGTTTAATGTTACATGAATTCTTACTAAAATGCCTCAGAATAAGAAGTTAGTTGGGTGCTAATTGGTGTTCAACATCAAATACAAAGTGTATAGGGTATTGAGAGATTAAATGCCAAACTTGTGGGAAAAGGTCTCACTCAAGCTTATGGGATCAACCAAGAATCAACAGACCTTCACACCAGTTGACAAACTTAACACCATCAGAGTTCTCCTTTCAGTAGCAATTAACAAGGAATGAGGACTACATAAAATTGAAATAAAAATATCTTCCTGAATGGGGATCTAGATGAAGCGTATATGGAGATACCACTAGGACTTAAGAATAACTCCAACAAACACCTAGTATGCAAACTCAGAAAGTCCCTCTATGGGCTAAGCAATCGCCAAGAGCGTGATTTGAAAGTTTTGCTAAAACTATGAGATCTAGTGGGTATTCTTAAAGTCAAGTCGGTCATACTTTTTTTGTAAAACACACTCAGAAATGTAAGATTGTTGCACTGATAGTATTTATGGATGATATGATCCTTACAAGTGATGATGAAATAAAGATTCTCGAGATCAAACAAATGTTGTCCATAGAATTTAAAATCAAAGACCTAAGAACCATAAGATATTTTCTTGATATGGAGGATGCAAGGTCCAAGAAAAATCATTATATCACGGAGCAAATACATCCTCTGCTAATACTCCAATGGATCCCAAGAGGGGAGAAAAAAAACATCTCTGTGGATAAAGGAAGCAATACCGGAGTTAACCCAAAATCCAATTGGATAGCAAATTTTATTATTCAAAAAAACAGCAGGGTTACACTCAAAACTTGAAAGAGAAACGAAATCACAGCAAATATAAATATCATGTTGGGGCTGGATAGGATAATCAGTGGATAGTGGTGAGGATGGGTTGGGGCAGGTGGTGGCCGATTGGAGGTGTGTAGGATAGCTTTCAGCGGGACTAGGAAGGGGGAAGGGGGTTACTGCTACTGGTAGAGGTGGTTGGGAAAAATTGCAGTGCAGTATAGAAAGTTAGCGCTAGGTTGCAGCACAGCAGGAAAATAGGAGAGGGCTTGTGATATAGCAGGTGGGCTGTGGTAGAGAGTTACGACAGGCAGCATGTAGAAGGGGGAGGAAAGATGAGCAACAAGAAAATAGGAGAGGTTTTGTGGTAAGCAGGTAGGGCTGCAGTAGAGAGTTACAGCAGCCAGAAGGTAGAAGGGAGAGGGAAGTAGGCAGCAGCAGCAAGGAAACAAGAAGGGGTTTGTGGTACAGCAGGTGGGACTGCAGTAGGGAGTTACAGCAGTCAGCAGGTAGAAACGAGAGGGAAGGTGGGCAGCAGCAGCATGGAAACAGTAGAACAAGGAAACGGCAGCAGCTAGCAATAAAAGGGACAGATAAACACCATCTCGGGATAAGTTACAGTCGGAACACCTTCTCATCGTCGGATATAGCCCTAGAAGGGACAATGGGACGTGGGCAACTATCCCGCAGAAATCTCAAATAATAACTAACCCTAATGAAATAAATAAAAGGGGGAGACCTTTCCCTTGGGCGGCAACCCTAGCCCAAACTAAAGAACAAGCCAGCCCCTTTGAGGCTCCTTTATTGAACTGGTTCAGTAGCCAATTCAGTCCCCAAGTGAGCACCGAGTCAGGAAGATAAAAAAAATTAGTAGGAAAACCCATCCATCTATCACATACAAGGCCAGATAATGCATATTTTGTCAGTATTGTGAGCCAACACATGAATAGCCCAAATGAAAAGCATTTTGATATAGAATTCTAGTTATGAATTAATTTTTGAGAAAACCAGAAATAGAGAGATGGAAGTCTATACTGATGCTAGTTGAGTTGGAGAACTCACTGACAGAAAGTCCACTATAAATTACTGCTTCTATGAATGGGGAAATTTAGTGACATGGAGAAAAAGTAAGTTGTTATATCTAGAAGCAATGCAGAATCAAAATATAGGGAACTCAACTTAAGAATCTGTGAAGCGATCTGGATTCAAAAATTTTAGAGGAATTAGGATTAGAGGTGTGAATGATCCGATTTTCAGCCGACTTAGGGTCGGCTGGAAATCGTATCGAATTTTTTTTTTTTAACCGGATTGAAATTGGATCGTGATCGATCATACTAAATTTCAATCTGATATGGTGTGGATCAATCTGATGTTTTGCTTGAGCAGAGAGGCAAGGGTTTGAATTACCTCTTTTCACAAAAAATTGCATTTTTTGCTCGTAAGCGGGCGAAAGTTGGTTAGAGCCGGACCTAACTGGCTCACGAGCCAAAAATGGCATTTGAGCCGGCTCAAATGCCATTTTTAGCTCGTGAGCCGGATCGGTCCGGCTTGAACCTGCCTTGGCCCGCCTGGCCAGCCTACCAGCAAAAAATGTCTTTTTGGTGAAAAGAGGGATTGCGAACCCCTTACACTCGACTCAAGCAAAAAATCCCTCACCAACCACGTGGCAATGTGTTATGCATGTAAAACTAAAGTTTTAGCTATTAAATATATAAATAAGAATTTATTTGATCCTGATCTAATCCGAGCGGAGGACGAATCGAAATAAATTTGATACTTTAATTTGGCTCGTAGCTCGTAGCTCGAACTCGAATAGTTCAATCCGATTTTAATCCAAGCTAAAATTCAATTTCATTTTCGATCAATTTACGATCTTCGAGCAAATTACACCGCCCTAACTAGGATGTACCTCCAATAGGTCTATACATAAATTTTGACAGCAAAGCAGCTATCAATGTTGTCAAGAATCTTATGTATCATGACAGGACCAAACATATTGAAGTTGATAGACACTTCATACCTGAAAAGGTTACTATGAAAATTATACAACTAAGCTACATCCCGACATACCAATAAGTTGTTGATGTCTTCAACAAAGCTCTTCCATTAAGCACCTTCTCAAAGCTTAATACCAATCTTGATCTTTACAAAATCTACAACCCAACTTGAGGGGGGGTGTGGAAATCTGAGCAATATTGTGAAGGAATTGATTAAGAAAACTTAGGAAACTCTTGATTTGCTTATTCCCTTCCTATTTTATGTCATTTTAATTTTTATTTAATTTTTTTCCTTTCCTCATTTAGGTTTGATATAATTTGTAAGTTCGCAAATTAAAAGAGATTGTTTTCCATATATATCTATATATATATATATATATGTAAACTAGAAGAGATATATATATATATATATATATATATATATGTACCCTACATATAAATAATACAATTAAGAAAGTTATTCCTTTCCAAATCAATTCTCAACAAAGAATGATGTCAAAGAAGATCCACCATCGATAATCCAACAAGACAGCCACATCGATTGTAAGAACAACGAAACAACACTTCTTAAGGCAAAAACAAGATAAAAAATCTAAAAATTCATAAAACTAAAGCAAATTTCCCCAAAACCAGTCCAATGTAATATATATATATATAAGGTGGGACTGCAGTAGGG